CACACACACACCCTCCCCAACCTCGTACACACACACCCTCGCCAACCCCATACACACACACACTCTCCCCAACCTCCCCCCACACAGACATCCTCCCCAACCCCATACACATGCACACACACTCTCCCCAACCCCACACACACACACATACACCCTCCCCAACCTCGTCCACACACACACACACACACCCTCCCTAACCCCCCCAACACACCCTCTCGAGACCTAACCCCATACACACACCCACACCCTCCCCAACCCCATACACATACACACTCTCCCTAACCCCATACACACCCCCACACACCCCCTCCCCAACCCCACACACACACATACACACACACACATGCTATCCAACTTTGATGTCATTTCTTTCTTTCTCTCACCAACCTCCTCAGCTGCCCAGAGGACAGTTACCTTTTCCTCGGCTCCACAGGTAGCTTGGTGCCCTGCAGGGTGCCAGGCGGCCCCTTTCCAATACCAGCCAGCGCTGCGATTTGTGCAGACCAGGCTCCGGCTGCGTTGATCACAATGGCGCATTCCACAGGCTGGTACTCCAGGCTGTGATCCATCTTCACCTGCAGGCACCAGAGAGTGAGGGGTGGGAAGACCCGGACCACATACCAGGCACCCTGAGAGGTGCACTCCTTCCTGGGCCTTAGTTTTACCCATACTGGAAAGTGGGTCAAAGAAGACCAAAACCAGGAGAGTCCCTACCTTTCCCGTCCCTCCATTTTGGTAAAGGACATCACCAGACTAGAAACTTACATGGACTTCATGGATGCTTTTCAAGGTCACCATTTCGTCATCTGTGGTCAACATGCATTGAGATGAAGTGACAAAACCTGCAGAGAGGAAAATGAAAAATAGGCCTTGGAGGCCCTGAAAAGGAAGGAAATGGGGATTTCACTTGTTTCTTAAGGAAAGAAAGCTGGAAGGATGGGAGCTTTCCTACAGACACTGAAGCAAACAGATGAGGGAGCTGGCATGAGCTCGGCCACACTCTGACAGGACAGTGCTGAGGTGCAATCATCAAGCAGATCACAAGTCACAGCGCAGCTCAGTGAGGAACCCGGGTCAGGATGCCTAGGACCTGCTCTCAGGGGAGACCCCTTTCCCCCGCAGCCCTTTCTTAGCTTGTGACTGAGAAGGTAAGACCTAGTCTAGGCCTATGCCCCAGTTGCTAGAGGAAACAAGCTCAGACTCACGTGTCACCTCTCCCTGGCAGAAAGAGACTCCCATGGACGCGAGCTTTTGCCGAAGCCCGTGGAGCAGACACCAGGGGTCAAACCAACCTTCATTCTCCATCCCTGTGGTAAGAAAAAGAGAACTGTCACAAAGACAGATGAGGACTTCTGCTCTCGGATTGTATTTCCTGTGTCCCCAACCCCTCTCGAGGGCTTGTAAGCCAGGAAAGGTCATCCTGACCAGCTGAGCCACAGAGACAAAGCTGCTGCAGGACAGAGAACTAGCATGGCCCAGGGCAATCCCCATGACACGGGAGGAAAGTGCTCCTCCTTCAGCTTGGCTGTGGGGTACCCGAGACTCCCAACCTGTGGCACCCCTTAGTCTCTACCTTCAGGAAAAAAGCTGTCCCCTCTGCAAGCAAGCCTCACCATAAGACGCCAGAGCCACTCCCTCTGTGTTTATCCAGGGAAACTTGTTCCGAAGCTGATCAGGAGACATCAGACAAACTTTGGCTCCCTCCTGTCTGAGATAAACGTGTGGGTCGGCGTATGTGTGTCAGAGAGGAGAGTGTGCAGAGGGGTGAAGTATGGACCCCAACCTCACAAGTGGGGAGTCCAGCTCAGTCAGGTCACTTCTCTGCCCCAAATGCCCCTATTTTTCCTCACTGTTGAGTGGCTGAAGACCAAGCCTCCTAGTCAGGCTCTTCAGCCTTGACTGCCTTTCCTTCCCTACTCCCTTGTCTCCTTTCAGCACACAGAGCTCCCTGCTATCCCCGTCTATTCCATGACTTTTTTTTTTTTTTTTTTGAAATGAGTCTGGCTCTGTCGCCCAAGATGGAGTGCAATGGCGCGATCTCCGGCTCCCTGCAACCTCCTCCTCCTGGGTTCAAGCGATTCTCCTGAGTAGCTGGGATTACAGGCACACACCACCACACCTAGCTAATTTTTTATTTTTAGTAGAGATGAGGTTTCACCGCGTTGGCCAGGCGGGTCTCGAACTCCTGACCTCAGGTGTTCCACCTGCCTCAGCCTCCCAAAATGCTGGGATTACAGACATGAGCCACTGCACCCAGCCTATTCCATTAACTTTCACAACAAGGTGGTAACCTTGTTCCCTCCACTCCTGCCTGGATCCACCTCCTCTCCACTCCTTTTACAATCCCGTTCTTGAGTACAGGTATCTCCTCTGGGACACTGTCCCCCAGAGCCGCCTCATAGCAGAGGCACCAACAGAACACTCCCAAGCCAGACTGCTGGCTTCAAATAAAATCCCACTGCCACCACTTACTAGTGCCTTATGTCTCAGTTTCCTCATATGTAAAATGGGGATGTTCTGATGATTAAATGAGTTAATATCTGTACAGCATTTAGGATATTTATGTCACTGTGAGACTTGGGTATCTGTTAAACAAACATAAAAATAAAGCCTCCGGCGATATTGCATCACAAATAATTGCACACACCACCCTCACCTGACCACGCGAATCATTTAGAGCAGGGGTTGCCAAATCTGACCTGCTGCCTGTTTTCGTAAATGAGCCACACTCCTTCATTTGCGCTTCTGTCTATGGCTGCTTTCATACTGTGATAACAGAGTGGTTAGAACAGACTGTACGGCCAGCAAAACCTAAAATACATACTATCTGGCCCTTTACAGAAAAAGTTTGCTAACTCCTGACTTCAGGTTCTTGTTAAAACCCAGATTTGTGGGCTCCTTCCCTAGAGATTCTAGTTTATTAGGTCTGGGATGTGTTCCAGGTGGTTTTCATGCTCTGACAAATTAGGAAGCACCTGGCAGTGTTTTGTCCATATCCATGGTACAGCACTCCCACGGGGCATTGCAGGTCTGTGTATTTCCTTCCTGACACATTGAGGTCCTAGACCGCAGGGATCTGTCTTATCAACTCCGCTTTCTCACTTCCTAATCTGGTGCAGAAGCCACCCAACACCTTTGGCTGCAAAGCAACTGAGAGGCCGTGCCAGGCACCCACTTCTGCACTTTCACGTTGCTCTCCATGGCTGCAGCATCCTTTTCTGAAGCCAGCAAGAGGTAGCCTGAGGGGTTGAACTGGAGGTCCAGCGGAGGGGCATCGGTTACGGCCAGGTACTCCTGTGTGCAGAGAGAAGCTCCTGAAAGAGACTGACTTAAGGATGCAAGGAAGAGTTTTCCGCCTTCTTCCCCCACAGCTCCCCAGGCTCAGTGCCCCAGACCTTGAGGCACCCACCACTAGGAAGAAAGGCCAGGGCCCCCCACTTCTTGTTGACTGACCCATTCTTGCTGTCTGGCTACCTTGCTAGCTGGGCTCCTCCCCACTCTGGGCTAAAGGAGGGGTTACCACCCCAACATCCCAAATATCATTGCACCTACATTGATGTTCCGTAGAAAGCTGGCTGAAAAGAGGGAGAGCTGGATGTTCTCAGGCAATGAGAACTGCTGACAAATCCCACCCACTGAGAGCCCAGTGGAGGCCTGTGAATACTGTGGAAAGACAAGAAAAGTTGAGGTAACCTATCACACGTGACTAGAGTACTGCAATGAAAGCTTTGAGCTATACACCTAAAGTTGAAGGGGAGTCCTATTTGCAAGTCTATAATCTAAGACCCATGCATATGTCAACTTGAAGGCAACAGTGTTTAAAATCATTAGTAGCGGATGTGCAGAGAGGGTCAGTCATCTGGAAAGAGCTGACACAGTGGTACAAAATGGTTGGAAGTCCAAGGGCAGACGATTAACATTTGATCTACCATTTGGAAAATGAAAGGTTATGACTGAAGTAAAGTAGCAAGATTCGTGGCTAGCGGCAATGCAAATGGGAACATCTAAAGTGCAAAAACCAGCCAGGTGGTGACTCATGCCTGTGATCCCAGCACTTGGGGAGGCCGAGGTGGGCAGATTGCTTGAGCTCAGGAATCCGAGATCAGCCTGAGCAACATGGTGAAACCCCATCTCTACAAAAAATACAGAAATTAGCCAGGTGTGGTGGTGCATGCCTGTGGTCCCAGCTACTCGGGAGGCTAAGGTGGGAGGACCTCTTGAGCCTGGGAGGTGGAGGCTGCACTGCACTCCAGCCTGGGCAACAGAGCCAGACCCTGTCTCGAAATAAATAAATACAATAAAATGCAAAAACCTCACAAGTAATGGGACCCAAAAGAAGCAAGTTGAGGGCGGGAAATGGTGGCTCATGCCTGTAATGCCGGCACTTTGAGAAGCCAAAGCAGAAGGATCACTTGAGGTCAGGAGTTCGAGACCAGCCTAGGCAACATGGTGAAACCTCATCTCTACTAAAAATACAAAAAATAGTTGGGCTTCATGGTGTGTCCCTGTAATCTCAGCTACTCAGGGCACTGAGGTAGGAGAATCACTTGAACCTGGGAGATAGAGGTTGCAGTGAGCTGAGATCGTGCCACTGCACTCCAGCCTGGGCAACAGAGCAAGACTCTGTCTCAAAAAAAAAAAAAGAAAGTTGAGACACTTAATTATAGCTTGAGTGCAGACCTGTGAGATCTCGAAAAATCCAATATTATGAAATCTGCTTTCAAAAGAATAAACCTTATTGCCAACCTTCCTGGTTGAACCGAGGAAGATCCTAGGATAATTTCTCAACAAGGTCCAAAGCACAATCTCTGCCCATTGGATCTCCTGAGATTGAGGTCTTCCCCTCCTCTCCTTCCCTTGTCCCTAGGGTCCTTAATAAAATGTGAGTCATCTTTCTTGCCCCACTCATGACTCTGTCCTACCCCAGGCCTCACCGTGTGGTCCCGTTCCACCACTAGCACCTGCATACCACCTTGTCGGTTCTCCAGCTTCTTCAGCCAATAGGCCACAGACAAGCCAAGCACCCCACCTCCCACGATCACCACATCCGAGTGCTCGGGGGGCAGGTGGCTGGTGTCTGGCAGTACATCACAGGGCGTTCCAGGCAGGATCGACTTGATCTTCTTCTTAATCTCGGACACCTTTCCATCCCAGTCTGTGGGATGTAGTTAGGGTCAGAGGGCCACACATTTCCTTCCCACATGGTTAGGGGGTTGGAGAATGGACACAGGAAAAGGTGAGCTAAACAGACATGTGAATTGGCAGTCCCCACTGTCAGTCCGTCTCATAAGGTCACCTTGCACCCAACAGTGTTGCCACAGTTTTCTGAATAGTCCACATGCCATCAGTCTCCCTTTTCATGCATTGTGCCGAGCACTGCAAGATTCAATTTCCTAAAATTAATTTTCTACATTACCTCCTGCATAGACCTCTCCTGATCCCAACTCACATGTTCAACTGCACCGTCATCCCCACTTGGGTCTTCCAGGCCTCTGGACCAAGAGGCCCTGGCACACCCCAAGTCACGGCACCCTCTGAAGCATGGCACCTCTAAACAGCACCTTATCCTGGATATCCATCACCACAACCAAACCTACATTTATATCCTATCTATAATCAAGTCCTGAGGGCTCTGGTTTCCACGTAACTCCTCAATCTGTCCCCTTTCTTCCTCTGCCACCATCATCCTAGGCCAACCCACTATCATCTCTCAACTGGACAAATGCAAAAGCATCCTAACTGTTCCCACTGATTCCCCACTTCCACCCCACCCCCTGCTGCGAACATTTTTACAATATAGCTAGAAATATCTTTTCAAAACACAAATTTAATCACAAACGCTCTTGATTAAAACCCTTCAGTGAGTTTCCGTTACTCTAAGAACCAAATCCAAAGTCTTAAACAGAGCCTGTAAGGTACTGCACAATCTCGCTCCTGTTCATCTTATCCTCCCTTACACTCCAGGCCCTTTAGTTCCTTGATGGCACCTTATTTCCTCCCACCACAGGGAACCTACACGTGCTCTCTGCTTTGAAACTGTGTCCACTTCCTTGCCTAGTTAATTCCTTGCTCGGAAAGCCTTTCCTGACCCCCAGACCAGCTCAAACTCTACATGGTCTCTTGGACACAATTGCAGCTTTGAGTTTGTATTGTTACATACTCTAAAATCCATGAGGGGGTAGGCTGTGTTCACCTTCACCACTGAATCTCCAGCCTATGGCAACACCCGGCATATTTTAAGTGCTCAGTAAGTACCTTAAATAAATTAATCATTTTGCCATTTCATACCTCACTCAAACTCTTCTCAGCAGCACTGCAATCTTTCTTTGGTCTGGCCTTAGCTCACCTGTCCACACTACATTTCATGCTACTACTCACACTGTTTATCTAGATGGCTTTTGCTAGTTCCTTGCATAAGAACAATATTTTTCTCCTAATTTGCAGTCAATTTTTCAGAGACAGGAACACACCTTTCTTAAGCCAGTAAACATCCTTCAAGGCTGATCTTAGTTCTCACCTGCTCCATGTACTTCCACCATTATACTAGCTAGCAGTGCAAAGCATTCTTTAAGTTGAGTTCTATCCAATCTTTTTTTTTTTGAGATGGAGTTTCCCTCTGTCGCCCAGGCTGGAGTGCAATGGCGTGATCTCGGCTCACTGCAACCTTCGCCTTCCGATTCTCCCGCCTCAGCCTCCCGAATAGCTGGGATTACAGGAGCCCACCACCACACCTAGCTAATTTTTAGTAGAGAAGGGGTTTCGCCATGTTGGTCAGGCTGGTCTCGAACTCTTGAGCTCAGGTAATCCACCCGCCTTGACCTCCCAAAGTGCTAGGATTACAGGCGGAAGTCACCGCGCCCGGCCTCTATCCAGTCTTGAACTGGCCTACTGTCTATTGAAATTTTCCCTCTCTAGGTACACTCTAGCCATCTTCCAGGACATTCACTGAACTCCGTCTTCTCTTCACTCCTTCACCGCAACAGCACTAAGTACAGCATCCTGAACGCTGGCAGGACTTAATGCACATCTGTACCACCTATCAATCAGTCTGACTGTAACCGGAAACGTAGAATGATGTGGGATCTGCCACCTGAGAAGGGCTGCCTTGGGAGCCATACACCTGCACAGCCCGTACAAACTCTGGTAGGCAAGCTTACCCCCTTCCCCAAGCCGACCCACTGTCCTGCCAGCGTGGGCCACGGTTTCGGGTCCTGAAGGACACACAGTCGGAGGTTGGGGACACCCCAGAACCACAATACCCTCTGTCGTCCTCAACTTTACCCAGAGAAAAGCCTCCTCTGCGAGTGCCTGGCCTCCGGGTCAAGAGGCCCCGGCCCAAGCCGTGCGGCAAAACCCTCCGAATCATGGCCCCTCTGAGACCGGCACCCTCTGAGAGTCGCACAGCTGCCTCGCTATTATCCCAGCCGTCACTGCTCCGCGCCAAACGCCATTCAGACGAGCGCGCCAATTGGCCAGTGGCCCTCAGGGCTCCGCCCCCCCCCCACGCTATAGGTGGCCGTCTCCCCGTGACCTCTCCGGGAGCCCCGCCCAGGCCCGCTCCCACCCGCCATTGGCTGGCCTTGAGATACGCGAGGCCTGCGCGCCCTCGGGCGGAGATGGAGAGGGCACCCAGCGTTCCGAGCGGAAGTGCGTTGAGCCGGTTTCCGGGGCCGCTGGTGTGACGTGTCCCGCGCTTGGCGCAGCAGGAAGCGGCGGCTATCGCGGCCTGAATTCCCGGCGCCGGCCCCAGCTCCTCTGCCGCTGCCGCCATGCTCGACTTCTTCACCATTTTCTCCAAGGGTGGGCTTGTGCTCTGGTGCTTCCAGGGCGTTAGCGACTCATGCACCGGGCCCGTTAACGCGTTGATTCGTTCCGTGCTGCTGCAGGTACCGCCCCCGTGGGATCAGAACTCCAGGCTCTTCTTTCCTGACCCGATCCATGGTCCCTTCGATTCTATTCCGCGCCTCCTCCCACCCTCCCCGCCCACCTCAAACTGGCCACTCACGCGTAACCCTGGCTCCGCTTCGTTGTCTCGTCCCCTTCAGAGTACCCCACAACTTAGTGACGACCCCCACTCCGGCGTCTGGACTCTAGCCGAATTCCGGCGCCTTTGGTATTCCCCTCCGCTCCCTCTATTTATCCCCAGCAGCTTGGTTTTGTTGTTTCGAGGCTAGGTGAAATAACAGATGGGAAAACACCTTTACAAAACTGAATGCTGTATAGCTGCTAATAATCTGATTGTTTATATGACTACTTTCGTTTTGGCTCCTATGTGCCTTGCTGCCTCTCACCTCCTTCCCCCAACTTGGTTATCTTCTTTCATTTCTGGTGGAATGCCAGACAGAAGTGCCCCAGCATCCTCTTGTCCTGGGGACAGATTTGAGTTTGAGGGAAATGTCTGGCTTTTTCCCAAAGGTAATCCAAACCCAGGGCCCAGACCTGGGTTTTCTGGGGACAGTCTGAACACTGAGACATACTCTTTCTCCAGGAACGGGGAGGTAACAACTCCTTCACCCATGAGGCACTCACACTCAAGTATAAATTGGACAACCAGTTTGAGCTGGTGTTTGTGGTAAGTGGGGTGTTGTAGAGGGACGATTACATTGTTAACATAGTCCTGATTATTAAGAGAACTCTGATTAATTGCAGCCAGTGTATATGATGACGTAACTGAAAAAACTAGAAAGGTAGATGGGGGGAAACAGCAGCTACTGGGCCCAGGCAGGGAGCTTGGCTGCCTGTCAGGACAGGGAAACCGGCCAGGTAGCTGAACTATCTCTGAAAGCCAGGGTTGAGTTGGCGTCCCTCCATTCTAGGCTGGCATGTAAGCAGATCTGTTGGCTCTGTTTCTTCCCCTAAACAGGTTGGTTTTCAGAAGATCCTGACACTGACGTATGTAGACAAATTGATAGATGACGTGCACCGGCTGTTTCGGGACAAGTACCGCACGGAGATCCAACAGCAAAGTGCTTTGAGTTTATTAAATGGCACTTTTGATTTCCAAAATGACTTCCTGCGGCTCCTTCGGTGAGAGGCCTGCCTTCTCTAAAATCAATTTATTTCCCTGATTTGATGATCTCTCTGAAGGTGGTTCAAGGGTGGTAAATTGGTGTGTTCAAAGACATTCCTAATTTGCCCTCCAGTTCTCATTGTCCTCTTAGGTGTGAGAGTCCTTTCTCTGGACTGTTATTTTTCCTCCTGCACGGGGTAGAAAGATAAACCATTCTCTTTTTTGTTTAGTGAAGCAGAGGAGAGCAGTAAGATCCGAGCTCCCACTACCATGAAGAAATTTGAAGATTCTGAAAAGGCCAAGAAACCTGTGAGGTCCATGATTGAGACACGCGGGGAAAAGCCCAAGGAAAAAGCAAAGAATAACAAAAAAAAGGGGGCCAAGAAGGAAGGCGAGTTTGAGTTCTTTGGATACACTGGGACATGAAAGGTGTTAAGACGGTGCTAAGGACTGAGGTGTTCCTTCCTTCTGTCATTGCTTGCCTCCTTCTCACTCAAATGCTCACCATCCTATAATCCCCAGGCCTTGTGAACTCCAAGATGTTTGGTCCAAATTTCCTTTGAACAATTTCGAAGACTTTTAGCCATTGTCTAGTGGTTGAGATTGTCTTTTTTTTTCCTTCAGTGAGTTTTTTCCCAACAGGTTCTGATGGTCCTTTGGCTACCAGCAAAGCTGTCCCTGCAGAAAAGTCAGGTCTTCCAGTGGGTCCTGAGAACGGAGTAGAACTTTCCAAAGAGGAGCTGATCCGCAGGAAGCGAGAGGAGTTCATTCAGAAGCATGGGAGGGGTATGGAGAAATCCAAGTGAGCACTCTTTCTTCAGTACTCTCAAAATACTGTTATCTAGACATGATGGGTGCAAGGGAGTTCTGGTCTCCGGCTCATGTTTCCTTTCCTACTTCTCCACCATAACCTGTTGCAGCAAGTCCACGAAGTCAGATGCTCCAAAGGAGAAGGGCAAAAAAGCACCCCGGGTGTGGGAACTGGGTGGCTGTGCTAACAAAGAAGTGTTGGATTACAGTACTCCCACCACCAATGGAAGCCCTGAGGCTGCCTTATCTGAGGACATCAACTTGGTAAGAGGCAACAGGGGTCAAAGTGAAGGTTATCTTTAATAACAAATAGGGAGGAAGTAGAGTGTGGGAACATGATACTTGGATTTGAATGAGGGGTAAGTTATACTTGGAGCTTCCCCAAATGAAAGAGATAGAGCAATGTGGACTTTTTCCTCAGAGACCTTAATGTTTCTGGCCCCATCTCCTTTCCCTGTATCTTCCAGATTCGAGGGACTGGGCCTGGGGGGCAGCTTCAGGATCTGGACTGCAGCAGCTCCGACGACGAAGGGGCTGCTCAAAACTCCACCAAGCCTAGGTAGGGAGATTTCAGGTGGGGGGGTGGCATATGCATCTGCAAAACTGGTAAGATACAACTCCCACCTACTCGCTCTGTGTGTATTTGTCATCTCCTGTCCCTGCAGTGCGACCAAGGGAACACTGGGTGGCATGTTTGGTATGCTGAAGGGCCTTGTGGGTTCAAAGAGCTTGAGTCGTGAAGACATGGAATCTGTGCTGGACAAGATGCGTGATCATCTAATTGGTAAGCTCTGAGGACCGGGCTGACTCATGTTCACGGGATACAGGTAATTGAGCGCAGACTCACCTAGCGGTTCTCACCTGCACCATAAAGACTGGTTGTTGCTGACATGGAACTGACCTACCTGTCCCCCCTCCTCAGCTAAGAATGTGGCTGCAGACATTGCCGTCCAGCTCTGTGAATCCGTTGCCAACAAGCTGGAAGGGAAGGTGATGGGGACGTTCAGCAGTAAGTACTGCCTTAAGTGAGAAAGTGCTTATGTGTACCCAGAGGTTAAGTGCATAGACCTCCGTTCTTACGAGGTATGTGACTTTTGGCAAAATCCTTAACCTCTAAACCTCTGTAACCTAGATTTTAAGGGTTATTGAGAGGATTAAATAAGTTAGTCCTTGTAATGTGCGTCTGTTCTGGATTTCTGGGAAAAGAGTCTAGTTAACTTAGTCCCCTTAGCTCAGAAAGGTGTTAGGCATTTTTGAGAGCATTCTTTACACAGCTGCAAACGTCCTCCACCTCCTCTTTCAGCGGTGACTTCCACAGTAAAGCAAGCCCTACAGGAGTCCCTGGTGCAGATTCTGCAGCCACAGCGTCGTGTAGACATGCTCCGGGACATCATGGACGCCCAGCGTCGCCAGCGCCCTTATGTCGTCACCTTCTGTGGTGTCAATGGAGTGGGGAAATCTACTAATCTTGCCAAGGTCAGTGCAGTTCCCCAGCCTGTCGCTGATATTTCTGTACTTCTCGTGTCTCAAAATCCTGGCTTTAGGTGACTTTTCTCACTTCTTTTTCACAGATTTCCTTCTGGTTGTTAGAGAATGGCTTCAGTGTCCTCATTGCTGCCTGTGATACATTTCGTGCCGGGGCTGTGGAGCAGCTGCGTACACACACCCGGCGTTTGAGTGCCCTACACCCTCCAGAGAAGCATGGTGGCCGCACCATGGTGCAGTTGTTTGAAAAGGGCTATGGCAAGGATGCTGCTGGCATTGCTATGGAAGCCATTGCTTTTGGTACGGTGCACGGGAAGTCTGGGGGCTTATTTGGGGTCCCTTTTCCTCCTTTGGTTCTCTTGGAATTTGCAGATCAGGCTTGTGCTACTACAGACTCGTTAATTACAGTAAAAAGTCAGATCAGTTACTTGCCATGCCCTGCTTTTGGGTAATAGATATAGTTGCAGGCAAAGTTAATACACCCTAACCAAAGAAGCCTGAATTTGGTCACCTTTATCCTGTTATCCTCCTTTTCCTGAATATGTTTGGTGATGGCCAAGCATACAGTCACGTTTTTCTCACATTACCTTGGAACCAAATCCAGGGCCCAAGACAGTGAACAGGTAGCCAAACTAGGATTTTCTGAAAGGAAGCTGGGAATGAGATTAGTTGTAGTCCAGGTTTTCAGAGTTGACCACTTTCTTTCTTTAGCACGTAACCAAGGCTTTGACGTGGTGCTGGTGGACACGGCGGGCCGCATGCAAGACAATGCCCCTCTGATGACTGCCCTGGCCAAACTCATTACTGTCAATACACCCGACTTGGTGCTGTTTGTAGGAGAAGCCTTAGTAGGCAATGAAGCCGTGGACCAGCTGGTGAGAGTGTGGGCCCAGTTCCCTTTACAACTTAAGCTTTAGTCAATGTAGATGGTTCTTACACTTCTATCACCTTTTTTCTTTCCAGGTCAAGTTCAATAGAGCCTTGGCTGACCATTCTATGGCTCAGACACCTCGGCTCATTGATGGCATTGTTCTTACCAAATTTGATACCATTGATGACAAGGTAAACGTGAGACTGGAGGGTGGAATGGGCATCCTCCACAAAGGAGCTGAGGCTGCAAGGAAACCTTGGCTCCAGCGCTTCCTGTTCCTGAGAGGGCGAGTGAAAAGTGGGCTCGTGTTGATTGGCTGTCCCCTTTCTCCACTTAGGTGGGAGCTGCTATTTCCATGACGTACATCACAAGCAAACCCATCGTCTTTGTGGGCACCGGCCAGACCTACTGTGACCTACGCAGCCTCAATGCCAAGGCTGTGGTGGCTGCCCTCATGAAGGCTTAACATGGCTCTTGCCCAATACCAAATCGCCGCTTTCCCCACAAGCCCTTCTTCCTGTATCAAGAATGTGCTTTAGAGTATGTGAGCAACTTGTCTTCAGTGTAGTACAAAGGCAGAGCGAGGGGGCTTGTGGCTCCTTCCAACCCCATTGCCCGTTCAGCACAGCCGCCATCTGCAAGGAGGGCCTAATCATGTTACAATCACTGCCCACTGACCCTCTCCCAGCAGGTCTCCCCCTTCCTACTCAGGCACCCCCTTCACTCTGCCTAAAGACTCAGTCTCATTACAGCTTTGACCAATGGTTGGAACCCAACACCAGAGCTTTGCTAATAATTAGTGTGGTCAGGAGCCGTCTGAGCCTAATGAGTCCCAGCTGCATTAGGTTAAGAGACTCTTCCAGAGCCAGCGCCAGGTCTTGAATGGCACCTCTCCCTAGGATACACAGCCTGCAGGTCCCCAGGACCTGGATGACACCCGCCTCACTGTGGCAGTGTATTGCCTGTTAATTGCTGCTAATTCTAATTCTGATGATGATTCCTACTCCATTGTTTACCCCAAAGCGTCAGCTAGGCTGGAGTGATTTGTTACAAATGAGCAAAAGATGAGTCCCTGCTTCCCTCAGAAATAAAGGGAGGTGAGCTGCAGGGTTGCATTGGGCTTCTCGGCCTCCCAACTCTTCCCATTCCCAGAATCCAGAAGTCAGCTTTGCATGTTCCCCTTCCTGGGAGGAAACCAATTGTGAGAAGGGTATATGTTGCCCCCTCCCCTCCCATCCTCCTAAGCAGTCCTGGCTTTTCCTCATCACTCCCCTCTACAGTGCCTGGTAGACAAGTGCTACGTTGAAGAATACAAACCTCTTGTTAAGACTTGTCCTGTAGCTTGATATTACAGATGTGCTATTAGTGCAATAAGGTGAAGGCTGTCTGCCCAGAGAAATAAGTAATTTATATAAGAAAATAAATTTCATAAATAAATTGCCTTTTAGGTCTTGGAGTTCTTTTATACAGGATTCAAAACTAAAATTCCACAACACACTAACTATAGTTCTAGGGCTTATATATGGTCAGGACAACAGAGCAGAAGTTTACTCCAAGGAATCAGGTAAGTAAACGGTTGTCCTAAGAATGAGATCACCCCAAGGTGAAAGATCAGAACCTTTAAAATTGGGGTTAGTAAAATGAAGCTTATTAGTTAGTACCGTGATGCAAGTTAGAGTCTTCTACAATGACTCTCAAAGTAGAGCCGGGGTCCTGGCAAGTAAATGAACAAGCTTTTAATACAGCTCAGTTATGTAAAATACTGTACACTGTAAAAGATCTAGAAAACTAGAGCTTCAAGTCATGTTTTAAAAAAGCCATTAAGCTTAATTGAAAAACCAAGTATAGAGTACAAAACTGCAACAAGAGCCACGGTGATTCCATGGCATCTAGACCCCGAGTCCATGCAGAGCTGCAGCCAGTCAGTGGAGGTATCACATTGGTGTGCTGTGCGGACACAAGCATGTCCAGCCTGGGGAGTGGGTCGGGAGCTGCATTTGGGTCCTGCTGTCACTTCTATTCTTGAACAGGCAGCAGAATATCAAGAACCAGGTGGTATGAAGGATTACGCTGGAACATTCCCCCCTCTTCTACCCCGCCCTTCAACCTCTGGCTATTGTTACTTTCTGGGAGTTGTGTTGGGTTCTTGTAAGTTTATTTGTTAAACACTGTCCGTGGTAGGGCCTTACAGCTTGGTCTAATGGTGGTGATTTCTCTAGCTTGCTCATGTACTACAGCCTGTGGGGAGAAAGAAAAGAGAACAAAATGAAGTTTCACAAAACAGGTTTATGCATCGGAAGCTGCAGATACTTAAGTCAATCCTAACCCTTCAGAAGGCAAGACAGGAGATGCTAGGAATCTTGTAATTTATTTAAAATTTTATTTACTTTTTAGAGACAAGGTCTTTCTCTGTCACCCAGGTTCAAGTACAGTGGCACAATCATAGCTCACTGGGCTCAAGCAATCCTCCCACCTCGGCCTCCTGAGTAGCTGGGACTGCAGCGTACACCACCACACCTGGCAGTGTTTTAATTTTTTTTTTTTTTTTTTTTATAGAAATGACATCTAGCTATGTTGCTCAGGCTGGTCTCAAACTCCTGGGCTCAAGCAATCCTCCCACCTCGGCCTCCTGAATTGCTGGGATTACAGGCCTGAGCCACCACACCCAGCAGTACTTCTTTCAAAATTAACTGATCATTTCACTACATTGTAATAGACTTGACAGGAAAAGATAGAATCGTTAATGGGTAGGAGAGGAAAATCATTCTCTATAGTGTTTTTTTAAAATTTGGCAATGTGAGGTTCAAAGTAACATTCTCTCTAGTCTTAACCAAGGACCTAGAAAGACTTTCTGCTACAGAGTGATAAATAGTAGAATAGGAAACAGTATACCTGTTATTTCACTGTGTGCTGCAGATGAGCCATTTAGCTGACCTTCTCTCACCATCCCTGCTAAACGGAGGACATCAGCATCAGACATTGGACTGAAAAGCTAAAACTTAATAGCAAAAAGAAAACTAAAGAGATGAGGATATATGGTATGCTTGAAATGGATGGCATTTAGAAATGAAACACTCATTGAGAAGAGAAGGAGGCAGAGAGGATAAACTGGAGTAGTCTTTAGACTTGCATTACCTAACAGGGAAGCAGTGAGTTTCCACAGTGCACTATGATTGCTTGTAGACAAAACATTTTATATACAGGGAACATGTGTCTGCTGTCCCTAAACAGTCAGAGGACCAAGTTCAGGTAAAAATTCAATCTCACCACGGATGGGCAAAGGCATGTGAGTGAGCAAATTCAAACAGAAGAGTGGAAAGTAGCCGAATACTCCCACAATATAAAATATGGTAGCACTAGCCATATGCAGCTACTTAGTTTAAAATTAAAAATTCATTTCCTCAGTCACGCCACATTTCAATGGTGCAACAGCCACATGTGGCTCCTAACTATGATACTGAACAGTGACGATTATACAGTATTGTTATGACTGCAGAAAATTCTATTGGATAACACTGGCATAGATAATAGTTCGGAAAAAGTAAAAAACTGAACACATGGAAGAAAATAGTCATTAGAAATATGGTCAATTAGAGTATAAACTGGCATGATACTCAAATATACATATTGGTATTACCCTCATAGAAAACAATTTAGCAATATATATCAATTACTGAAATGTTCCTGATCTTTGACCTGATTACACTGAGAACTCATCAAGGAAATTATTGGAAAAACTGAAGGGATACAGATGTTATTTTCACAACATGACTTACAAAAAACTGGCAAAAAAAAAAAAAAAAAAAAAAAAGACCAGACATTGCCTAACAGGAATAATTAGGTAAACTGTAACAACCCTACCAGAATATAAAAGTCAATTAAAATAGTGGTTATGAAGACAGGGATGTGGGAAAATGTATGATCCACTACTAAATTTTAAAAGGACCGAAACTGTATATTTTGTTTACAACTATGAAAAAAGGCACAGGGAAAACTTCATCAGAGAGGTACCAAGGCCAGGTGCCGTGGCTCACACCTGTAATCCCAGAACTTTGGTAGGCTGAGGCGGGAGGACTGCTTGAGCTTAGGAGACTGAGAACAGCCTGGGTAACATGGTGAAACCCCATCTCTACAAAAAATACAAAATTTAGCTGGGCATCGTGGTACGTGCCTTTTAGTCTCAGCTACTTGGGAGGCTGAGGTGGGAGGATCACTTGAGCCCTGGGGAGGTCAAAGCTGTGGTAAGCCATGACTGTGCCACTGCACTGCAGCCTGGGTGAAAGAGCAAGACCCTGTATCAAAAAGAAATAATAAAATAAAAATAAAAAGGGTTGGGCATGGTGGCTCACGCCTGTAATCCCAGCACTTCGGGAGGCCAAGGTGGGTGGATCATGAGGTCAGGAGATGGAGACCATCCTGGCCAACATGGTGAAACCCCAGCTCTACTAAAAATACAAAAAATTAGCTGGGCATGATGGCACGCACCTGTAGTTCCAGCTACTCAGGAGGCTGAGGCAGGAGAACCACTTGAACCCAGGAGGCGGAGGTTGCAGTGAGCCGAGATCACACCACTGCACTCCAGCCTGGCGCCAGAGCAAGACTCCATCTCAAAAAAAAAAAAAAGTACCAAAACGATTGCTTGCATGGTAATGGATTATAAGAATTATTTTTCTTTTTCCCATTGCTTGATTTTTCTAAAATATGCATAACTACACACTACAGAATCCTCTGAGGACAATTAATATCCACTATGCAAAAGTGAGCATACAACACGACGCCAGGCACATAGCAAATGCTCAGTGTTAAAAAACAAAACAACAGCAAAAGACCTGTAAACTCTTACTAGTCTATATCGACAGAGACTCAAAACATTATGCAAGGGTGAAAGATAAGGTTGGCTTGTTTCAAAATGAAATGATGTTTTCACCTGAAACTGCTCTACTGCATTTCACGTGACAAACTCAGCTGACCATTCCCACAGCACTCTGGCCGTACTGAAAATCCGATTGTTTTGAAAGATACAGAACACCTTAATGACAGGTAACTCTGGGGAAAGCTACTCTGGTGGGAAGCCTACACAGCTAATAACAGAATTTGTGCCATTCCACAATAGCAGTTAAGGTTCCTTAGAGCAATCTTAGTGCACTAAGGAACCTGACTGATTCTTTGCTATGTAATGCAACAGTCTAACGACATATTTTTTTTTTTGCTAAGATTTAGTGCAACAGAAACAGTTATCCAGAGGGATTTTGCTGTTTTAAATTTTAGCATCTTTCCTCAGCATACAGATCAAAAGAAATACGTAGAACTTGGATATGTATCTCTTGCTAATGAAAACAGAATATATGCAACAGAAAAGCCTACTCAAAGTCTCCAGTGTGGGCAAACAACAGCAGAAGAGTCTGGAACACTGCAGGACACCAGAAAAACTCATTTCCAACAAAGAATAGTAAATAGTTTTTCACAAATGAGACTTGTTCACGTGGTGATGGCTTTTAAAAGTCTGGTTCCATCAAAGCATAGCCATGGAAGAAGCTGTATAATTTTTCATTACAGGAGAATTCTTTCTACTTGAAGCCATCTGATTCAGTTAAGAAATCTGGGGATGATTTGATTTAGGAAAACTGCTTTTTGTTTATTAAATTACCTGTATGTTATTTATTTTAAAAACAGGGTCTTGCTTTATTGCTCAGACTAGTGCAGTGATGCAATCATAGCTCACTGCAGACTCCAACTCCTGGGCTCAAGTGATCCTCCTGCCTCAGCCTCCCAAGCAACTGGATTACAGGTGTGTGCCACCACACCTGGCTAATTTTTTGCAGAGACAGGGTCTCACTATGTTGCTCACACTCATCTTCAACTCCTGGCCTCAAGTGATCCTCCCACTTGGGCCTCCCAAAGTGTTGGGATTACAGGCCAAATTACCTGTACTTTTGCCCTCCTAAGATGCATTCAGGTTGACAATGAAAATACGTAAGTTTTCAGGAAATATTTTGTGTACAACAGCAAAGTTTTTTCGGAATTAGATGGATGAGTACAACTAGCCATACTCTGGAGCCTGGCAATGTGAGGTTTTGAAAAAGCATTCTCCAGTTTAGCTGATACCAAAAATGTCTGTGTTTTGTGCGGTTACTGGGAATTTGCCTGCAGCCACTAATCAGCTGAATCTTTAATCACCATTTTGCTCTTTATTGTTAAAATGTGGAGGTAAAATATCAAGTGAATGATACCTCTATCCTCTGACTTGAATACCACCATTATCCGTTTCCAAACAGCATTTCTAAAAGTTAGTTTTCTGTTTGTAAAGATAATACATAATCATCATAGAAAATGCCAACACAGAAACCAAAAAATCAACACTTTAAATCCTATTACATAAAGATAGCCACTTAATTTAGAAAACATTCCGGATATATTTCCATACGCACCAAAAAAAAAAAAAAAAAAAAATACTGTACAATTCTATATGAATGTAGGTGACCATGGTGTTTACAACCTGCTTTTTCTTCCTTTACCCATATGTCTTTTTTATGGCAATGAAAACATTTTCCCTTTTATGGCTTCATTGTATTTCATCAGTTAAATAAATACTGGGATATCTGTAGAATCTCTCTACTAATTTTACGTTCCTTCCAATTTTTTGCCACTACATTCAATGGAGACTACATTCCCACATATGCATCTTTGTACATATGTGGTGATTGTGCAATCATCCAATTATATCCTATGAGAAATTTCTTCTAGGACAAATTGTTTTGATGGGATTTCTGGGTCAAAGATTTGAAAATGTTTATTACATCCTCTAAATTTATGGTTATAAAGGTTGTACTGACTTTACCTTTCCACAAATACTCCATGAATGAATTTATTTTCTACAGCCTTAGCCAAAACGGAGTGATCTTTCTTCTCTATTTTGTAATCTAAATTCGAACTGCATTTCATTGATAACTAGTGAGGCTGAACATCTATTTTCTTCAATCTTCCTATGTCTATATTGAACGGCTCGAGCGTTCCTTTTTGTCTGTTTTCCCATAATCCAAATGGCACTTTAGTCTAACCTTAAGACTGTAGCCTCCTTTACGATTTGGTCAGTCATTACATTCCTCATCTTGGCAACTATTTTGCCCATCACAAATACACCAATGGCTGAAGAGCTGTTGTTCTCTGATTCCCCTCAGCTTCAAAATGCATCTTACCTGATCTACCCCTTGTGGAGATCTCACATGTCAGTCGCTTGAAATATTCTGGAAGATCGGCAAAGTCATTTCCATAGGAGATGACTTTAATCCCCTTGTCCAGCATGTTTTCTCGAAGCTTTTTGAACTCATCTACGTCTCCTCTCCGAACCAGCATGAAATGTTCTAGGTCAGATTTATGCTTGACAGCCTCCAGGAAAAGGGCCTGGAAAGTGGTGTCATCCACAGTCCAGCCACAGCCCAGGAAGAGAAATGACTTGTTTTCGTAAAGTTTCTGAATCTCTCTCTTGAAGGAAAAGATACAACATATTGACATTGTGAAGATACACTCAAGGCAGGTATGAACCAAGAAGGTCACGCTACATTGAGCAGACTATGATGACCAATTAACCAAGACTTACATGGGTTGGTATGTCCCATCAAGGAGTGGGATCTCTCGCTTATTGCTGTAACTTGATGATTGGTCTAAAATTTTATCTTTACCTGGCATTCTTCTGTAGGCTCTCTAATAAGGGTTTCATAGAGCTGGTGTCACTGTACTGGTCCAGTAGTTTATTTATTTTTTACATTTTATATATTTTTTGAGACAGAGTCTCACTGTCACCTAGGCTAGAGTGTAGTGGTGTGATCTCGGCTTACTGCAACCTCCACCTCTCCAGTTCAAGTGATTCTCGTGCCTCAGCCTCCTGAGTATATTACAGGTGTGCACCACCACACCCAGCTAATTTTTGTATGTTTAGTAGAGACGGGGTTTTGCCATGTTAGTCAGGCTGGTCTGGAACTCCTGACCTCAAGTGATCCAGCCGCCTTGGCCTCCCAAAGTGCTGGGATTACAGGTGTGAGCCACTGCACCCGGCCACTAGTTTACTTTTTTTATTTTTATTTCATTTCTGAGACACAGTCTTGCTTTGCTACCTAGGCTGGAGTGTAGTGGCATGGTCTTGGCTCACTGCAACCTCCTCTACCTCCCAGGTTCAAGCGATTCTCCTGCCTCAGACTCCCAAGTAGCTGGGATTAGAGGGACCCACCACCATGCCCAGCTAATTTTTCTATTTTTAGTAGAAACAGGGTTTTACCATGTTGGCCAGGCTGGTCTTGAACTCCTGACCTCAAGTGATCTGCCCGCCTTGGCCTCCCAAAGTGCTGGGATTACAGGCGTGCTTTTTAAGATTTCTGTGCCCAGAGGTCATTAGGTAAAGAGGTCTTCATATATCTTAATCCTTCCTTCCATTTCTGGACCGTATTTGCCTTTTTTTGTCTTACCAACTGAACTGTGAGTCACCGGAGAAGATAATTCCATCATCAGATTTGCTCAAGGAAAGGCGTTTGATACTTAGAACATCAGTATGTGTGTGTGTATATTTATACACACACAAAAAAACACAGAAATGACTCTGCCTAAGGGATCACTCGGTATCAGAGATGGCTGCAGTTACGGCAGATGTTGGGAAAGAATGGGTAAAAAAAAAAAAAAGTCCCTTGTGCTTCAGACCATACATTTTCTTGGTCTTTTGCCTTACTGTTTAAAGATGCTATATTCTATGTGACACAGTCCTGAAAATAGCAAACAAGATTCTTAGAGCTGGGGGACAGTGAATACTTCTGGTTTGAACACGTTTATCTGAACAAGTCGAAAATGTGCATCACAGAAGATCAATAAGCTTTCCACAAAGAGTAAGTGTGAATGAGTGTGGTTAATTCAATATAAGCCCATTGCCATTTATACAAAGTCTCTTTAGAATGTATTCTCTAGTAGTGGCTGGTTTGTAAGAAGCTGCCTCAATTATTTCTGACATAGAGAGGGCTACTAATAAACCAAATGATGATAAAGGTACCAATGTATCCTTTGTATGTGAAGATGATGCCAATGATGGCATGCCATCTGCTGGCTGTCAATTAAGTACAAACAAGGATCATAGGGTTTGATACCTTAAGAAAACTTCTACATCTCCTACAACAGCATGCACACTGACAAGTTAAAAAGCACAGGAAGAATGTCTGACTTTCCAGTTTCTTTCTTTTTTTAGAGATAGGGTCCTGCTCTGTCACCCAAGCTGGAGTGCAGCGGCTCTAGATACCACTCACTACAGCCTTATATTCCTAGTCTCAAGTGATCTTCTTGCCTCAGCCTCCCAAGTAGTTGGGACAGCATGCACTATGATGCCTAGCTAATTTTATTTTTGTAAAGACAGAGTCTCGCTATGTTGCCCAGGCTGGTCTCGAACTCCTGGCCTCAGGCGATCCTCTCCCCTTGGCCTCCCAAAGTGTTGGGATTATAGGCACGGGCCACTGCTCCTAGTCCCTGACCTTCCGTTTTCACTTAATGAAAAGAAGATGTTTCCCTTTAAGACCTGGCCGGGCGCGGTGGCTCAAGCCTGTAATCCCAGCACTTTGGGAGGCCGAGGCGGGTGGATCACGAGGTCAGGAGATCGAGACCATCCCTGGCTAACATGGTGAAACCCTGTCTCTACTAAAAAAATACAAAAAACTAGCCAGGCTTGGTGGCGGGCGCCTGTAGTCCCAGCTACTCGGAGGCTGAGGCAGGAGAATGGCATGAACCCAGGAGGCGGAGCTTGCAGTGAGCCGAGATCGCGCCACTGCACCCCAGCCTGGGCGACAGAGCGAGACTCCGTCTCAAAAAAAAAAAAAAAAAAAAAAAAAAAAAAAACCTATGGCATATTTAGAGAGATTTCCCAGGAAGGAGTTCCTGAGACCAGCAAGATCGGCCCCACTCACCATGACTTCAGTGTTCCTGAGCACATTCTGATATCCAGCTGGATGAAGGACAATGCCACTAGGGTTGGTGTAGACTCCATGAATATGCAACACGCTCAGTTTCCGCTTCTCCTGAGCCCACTCTAGGACCTGCACGACACACACATAGCCCAACCAGCTTGGCAGGGCTGGGCACCTGTTTAAAGGTCACAACGGGCAAGAGGCTGTTCGGAGGACTAGACTTCCAACATAAACTCTCTAGCTTCATGATCTAGGACACGAATGCAAAACCTGATGTGGTCTAAGTTTCCACTTCCGGAATGACTGTCGAGAATGATGGCAGCAAATTTGGTGATTTCTCTTTGAAAGTAACCATCAAAAATTACAATTTGTTATAATTTGCAGACACAACAGGGACCCTTTGTACTGGTGACATGCATGAGAGCTATCGACAACTGCTTCAGTGATCACTCCAAGAAATCAAGCCTCTGCATCCAGGCCCTTGTGTGGCCCCTCTTCAGAGTGACTCCAGGCTAACCACATGGCTTGCTTTTAGCCAGTGGGATACTAGCAAACACACACAAGCAGAAGCTTGATAAGTGTTGGCACAAGAAGTCTTACTTCTCTTGTGTTACTTTTGGAATCCAACTGTCATGTGAAGAAACTGAAGAAGCCTGGGCTAGCCTGTTAGGACATATGTGGCCTGGCCAACTGCTTGCATTGACAGACATGGAATTATGGTCCCCTTATATCAGTCAGCCCTGGTGCAGCCATCAGATGTCTGCAGGTATGTCAAGAGGCTGCAAAATCAGCAGAAGAAATGCCCAGCTGAGTCACTGAGCCCAGTTCAAATTGTTAATGGACTTTATCATGGGCAGACAAGATATTTGTTGTTATAAGCCACAAAGTTTCAGGGCCATTACTTGTACAGCAATAGATAAGTGATAGAAAAATCACTTCAGTCACCTCTGAGGAACCTAAAAGGCTGCCAGCGAAGAACAATCATGTAGACGACAGTGAATGCAATAGCCACCTGATTCCAGGGCTCCATTTTCCCAAGGACTGGAGACAGCATACATTTATCCTTATCACCTTTTGGAGAAATAGGCTATGAATCAGGAAAGTAGTCAAGAGGCACAGAGATTTAGAATTTGAATGTTACTAGGCCCCATTCTGACTACCAGTCATTGTCTTTAACCATTAGACTGCAACACTGCCCCTAATGTGGGCTGAAAATACAATGCAAATCTTGAGGCCCAAGGATGAAATAAGAAGGAAAACATCAAATGTGATACATATCCTCAGCTTTTAAAAGGTCCTTATGCTTCTGATATCCATGCACATACTTGGTCATAATCTTTGGAAATTTTATCACAAACAGCATAGAAGCTACTTGAGCTGCTAGTTTTAAAATTTCAATCATGTGTTTGTTTATTTTTAGACAGAGTCTTGGTCTGTCGCCCAGGCTGGAGTGCAGTGGCGCAATCTTGGCTCACTGTAACCTCTGCCTCCTGGGTTCAAGCGATTCTCCTGCCTCAGCCTCCTGAGTAACTGGGATTACAGGTGTGCACCACCATTCCCAGCTAGTTATTGTATTTTTAGTAGAGACAGGGTTTCGCCATGTTGGACAGTCTGGTCTGAAATTCCTGACCTCAAGTGATCCACCCACCTCGGCCGCCCAAAGTGCTGGGATTACAGGCGTGAGCCACTGTGCCCAGCCTATTTATTTATTTTTGAGACATGATTTTACGCTGTCACCCAGGCTGGAGTGCAAGAGTGCGATCACAACTCACTGGAGCCTCGACCTCCTCAGCTCAATTGATCCTCCTGCTTCAGCCTCCCAAGCAGCTGGGACCACAGGCAAACACCACCATGCCCAGCTAATTTTTAAATTTTTTGTAGAGATGGGGTCTTGCTATGTTGCCCAGGCTCATCTCGAACTAGGCTCAGGTGACCCTCCCACCTCAGCTTCCCAAAGTGCTGGGGTTATAGGCCTGAGCCGCTGTGCCCAGCCTAATCATTTATTAATCAAAAAAATATTTACCAAGCACCTAACTCTGTCATATTTGAAACATGAGGGTTTTATCTGAGCTATGAGGATAAGAAAGACTAACATGATACCTGTCCAAGTGAAGTTACTATTCCTATGGGGTAAACAGTCAGAAAACAGATAAACAGCCAAGATAAAAACTGTGCTGGGCATGGTGGCTCACGCCTGTAATCCCAGCGTTTCGGAAGGCCAAGGTGGGCAGATCACCTGAGGTCAGGAGCTCGAGACCAGCCTGGCCAAAATCATGAAACCCCGTCTCTACTGAAAATACAAAAATTAGCCAGGCATGGTGGCAGATGCCTGTAATCCCAGCTATTCCGGAGGTGAGGCAGGAGAATCGCTTGAACCCGGGAGGAGGAGGTTGCAGTGAGTTGAGATCACGCCATTGCACTCTAGCCTGGGCGACAAGAGCAAAATTCCACCT